AATTTTTCAAAATTCATAATATATATATATATATATATATATATATACATAAATATAGAGAGAGAAAAAAGTGGATTTATTTACGTATAATCAAAATGAATGATACAAAAACTATGTCCTTCTCAAACATCTCCACAACCCTCCATCTCTGAATGGTTTATAGAACATTTGTTTCAAGTTCCTCATGCTGCATTTGAAGAAACCCTGGAAGTAGATTTAATTTTGTTTACTTATTGATATCTGTAGAAAGATATTTCTTGCCATTATTTTGCAACTTTTGATATAAATTTTCCTAGAACACAACATTAAAACACAGTTTTATCGCATAGCATATAACATTGCTATGATATTTAGAAATAAACAGGGGAATAAAATGTCAACTAGAAAATGTCATCCAAAAGTATCCTTGCTGATTAGTGACAATGAGGTGAGGGTAAAACATGGGCAGTTGCACACAAAGTGAAAGGGCTTTTTATGTGATTTTGGGTATGAGTGGAATGTGTATAAGTTGTAATTCAAGTGAAGTTAGATTTCATTATTGTATGCACAGGGTCACAAAATATGCCAAGTGTAAAAGGCTAACTTTATAAGATGGTTGTGATAGAGGAAGAATTTTTTTCATTCTTTAGAGTGGATTTTTTCACAATAAAATTAGACTTGTGTACATCATTTTTAAAGACTGCAGGATTTTGATAATGGTCTAAACTCATTGAAAAGAAGTTCTACTATGACTGTTCATAATCAGTATCATATTGAGAATGATGTGAAAAAGATGTTTTCTCACTGATGGGGTTATATTTAGATGGTGCTACTAAGGATTTTTTGAATTAATACTTACAAATAAAAACACATATCAACTATCACAACCTTGTACCATAATCATTTAAAATGAAAAAGTAAAAAAAAGGACAAAAACAATGTGTAAAGGTCTTATTTGTTTGTATTCTTAAAATACACATTCAGCTTCTCTTACTATTATCCTCAAATTTTGAAATATATATTGCTCACATTCTTTTATGCCATTGTGTTTTGACTTCATGTGTTAATTTGTATTTAAACTATTTACAATGTTTCAACCCCTGTGGTAAAAACTAATTCATGGTTATCAGAAACCTATTAATAACATTCATTTGGATCACCATTGCCTTTGTTCAACCTCTATTATTGTCACCAAGGCTTAAGAAGTGGGCTCAGGATGACTGCAATGTCATGATCATTTTGTTGAATATGGTTATGCTGAATTATTCCAACAATTCTGTTGTCATACAAACATTATTATATCCAAATCAAAACACGAACATCATTGAAACAATTTCTACACATAATGTCTTTGCAACATTGGGTTTTCATATTATTATTATTATTATTATTATATAATTTTATTGTGCAACATGGGAAAAGAGCTGCAACCGTCATCTAAAATTCAGGGTTCTGGTCGGGCTCAGGAATATGTGCAGGCAGACACACTCAGCTCCAGTGGACACAATAAATATGATCCGCCACGCTGGAAAGTGGGACTCTATTTCTTTTGCCCTAATTTATCTCTCCCAGGACTTTGCTTTGAATGCCACGTCACTCAGAATCTCATGTGGGATTTGTTAATGCAGAAGGGCTCGAATTCTGACAGCTGTCATGCGCTTCAATTATCATCAGAAGCAAGAAAAAAAAAAAATTAAAGCATGTGTGTTTGTTTGTTTGTTAGTATTTTGTTTATTTTGTTTTTTCAAATTGCCTCTCACCTTATGTTTGTGTGTGTAAATGTGTGTGTATATATATATATATATAAATATATAAGTAATTGTTTTTGAGACTGACTCGGGCGTGTTCTCAGAGTCATTATCATCTTGTTAAGCATATTGAAGTGTCTTAATGGTTTTATGCGAAATTGTGATGAGGTGGTGCTGAATTCACAAGAGCCCATCCCTGACTGATGATTGAGACCCAGCAGCAAAGGGAATGTGGCAGAGCTTCAACCAATTTCTAGCACACACTTGCCGTCTCCTTTGAATATCATTTTTTGGTGTTGGCTTTTGATTAGTGTGTAGTTCGTTGTCTATCTTTTTGTTTGTTTGTTGGGGGTTCTATCAAAAAATCAACCTCTATGCATAGGCATTTAGGGAGATTGTTTTTCAAAATCAATGTCCATCCAATTCTAAGAGCTCGAGGTTATTCAATTTGTTTTTAGCTTTTTTGGTTACTGTGATTGTTTTTAATTTAAGAACAACAAGTGCAGTCCAAGAGTAGGAGTAGCCCAAAAATTACATGTCAGAACAAGTTTAAGTAGAGTCATTTAGTATAGAAAGGATTCTGCACTTGGACCCATGCCCTCCCATTCCTTAGCTTGCAGTCCAAAGACAAAACCTTATATCTCAAACTCAATCTATGTGTACAAAATTCCATAGGATGCTATTCATTTAGAGTCAAAATCTCAAAACTTGTGGACAAGAGTAAGGGAACAAGAAGGACAAAACAAATAAAGTATTACTTAACCATTTGTTAACCATTATATGTGAAATAAGATCTTATCCTTCTACAATCCATTTTTCCATTACACTAGCTTCCTACAATTGTTACGTAGGTTGTGCTATAAATCTACATGACATATGATAAAGACAACCATGGTTTTAAAAGTAATTTTTTCAAACATATGTACATATAAAAGTATACTACAGTAATAACTTAACAAACTTCAAAATCCATACAGATTAACTTTATGTAGCTACAAAATCATTCAGATGGACATTGAATTTAGTTATTGTTTTTATTAAGTGATTTTTTTTCATTATGTGTGCATATATATATATATATATATTGACATGAATAATATTTATGACACAATACTCCACCTAAAAATAAAAACAAGAATAAAAAATAAAAAAAAGCAAACTCAAATCTCAAAAGTACAATTTTTTCAACTGCTGCTTCAGTTTCAGAATGAGTAACAACATAAAAATGAAAATAGCACTTACTTGCTTGGTATCAATCAATAAACTTGAAGACAAAGCTCTTGTAATTGGTGGATACTGGCCAATCATCCCCTCTACAGAATAAAAAGGATCTCCATCTCAGCATCCACAAAATGTTCGACACCTGAGGTGTCTATAATGGGCACCCAGCTTCCTTCATAAAATCACCAAAAATAGCCTTGAAAAGTATTGATATATTTTGTGAATGTATGCATTTATTAATGATTTTTCCATTGCTATTTGATACAAGATTTCATGTACTATTGGAATATTTCGTTACATTAAAAATGTACTTACCTCAAAAGCTTAGTCCTCACTACCACCTTTTTGTAGGCTCCCACACTAATCTCATGCCTTGCCTTTCATGGGCATATATAAGTTGTTTCTATTGTTCATCAGTGGCTTTGTGTCACTCATGAATTGGTTGCCTTGCATACCTTGAGAAATGGAAGCTATTGCCAGGTATGGTTATCTGTTTATAATTAAATTAAATTAAATTGCACAGGGTTGTCCTGACTCAGTGTTGACTGCTTGAATGCCATTCAGTCCCTTCAGTGCACAATTTAAATGGAACCATTCATCCAATAAAACCATTCATCCAGAATCAAGGCACAACTCATCCACCAGGGTTGGAACCGCTGGATGAATAAGGACTCTTTCCACATATTCTGCATCCCATCTATTAACCCATCAAAGGCATGTTCCTGTAGTGTTTTCTTTTGGGTGAATTAACACAATCCTGGGTGTCAATCTGATGGTTATATTGTTGTCTTGCAGCTTTATTTCACAAACATTCATTCATCCACCCATATGCACTAATAATATAATGCGAGACTCAATCATGTGATTGTGAATTGGCAAGGCCACAACTCATCCATCCACAGAGTATGAAAAAAGCCTAAATTTTATAAAGATAAATTTAACACTAACTGGGGAAAAACCAATTTTTATTTATTGAATGCAACAAGAGGACTGGGCTAAGTTGAGGTTGGATCTCACATGGGCAGTAGAATTAGTCATCAGTTAAACCAAGATGATATCAAGACTGGCTGGTGAGGAAATGAGCCATGAGTCATTGTTTGCCATCCACACAGTAAAATTCTTCATCTTCATCTGCCCGAGGCATGGACAATATCTCACACATTCCCCTTCCCCATAGTTCATTGTTCAAAAGTGGAGAAATTGTCAAATATATATATATATATATATATGAACACACACATACAATTTAGCAGGTCAAGGATGCTTTGGACACTTTCTCAAACTCAAGGCCAGGCAGATCACCAATGGACACCAAGGGGGGGCCAGGCAATGATGGAACAACCCCCCCTGAAAAGCAGCCCTCATTCTCCATACTAGTAGAGTAATAGCAGTACAATTTGGGTCCACAGTAACAAACTTCATTCCCTTGAGAAGAGAAAAAGGGCTCACAAATATGGCAGCCCCACAAATCATATATATATGGGAAGGGAGAAAAGGGGGAAGGGGATGAGAGATAGATAGATAGATAAACAAACAGAGAGACCTTTACAGGCTCAGGGAGACTCCCTGATTGTCAAAATTCAAACCCCATTCCCATTCCTATTCCTATTCCTCTACCTCTTTTTATCTTGGATTCTTCAAAACGGTGGGGGCCCAACACAGTGCATGCTTACGCTGGAAACATGGCACCAGTGGAAGGGGTAAAAAAACAGAAGTGGGATGGGGTGAGGGGGTGTGGTTTGGACAGATTCTTCAGTGGGTTACTGTCTGACAGCGGGTTGCTGCTACTACTGCTACTGTTGCTGCTGCTACACTGTTGTGAAAACGCTGCCACAGAGGGAGAGGGAGCTAAATCTGGGGAGAGGAAGCGGTGATGCGGTACAGTGAGCTAGCTAGCTAGTAAGCTAGGGGAGAGAGGGGAGAGGTCTAGAGCAGCAGCAGGAGGGGGTTGGGTTGGGTCCGATTGCGGCGGAGGACGGTGCAGACAATGAGGCAGCGTCGGGAGTTGTGTAGTAGTGTTCTGTAGCGTACTGCTCAACTTACATGTGAGTACCGATTTTTCTGCTGATGCTGTGCTTGTTCTGGCTGCTGGGAGAGGGAATAAAAGCCAGCCCTCACGCAGGAGGGGAGGGAGAAGAGAAGGGGCACAACTGGGAGCACGCTTCATGTTCGTCCGGGTGTCTGGTTGGTTGTCTGCTGTGTGACTTGTGGTGATCAATTAAAGGGAGGGGCAATGGCATTGTACTGACAGCATGCTCGTGGCATTTGACTCATCATCAGGAGGGAGCTTCACATCAGTAGTCGCATAGTTATTGAGTTATTGAGTGAGTGAGTTAGTGTGTGTGTGTGTAAACGAACTAGCTCGTGGGGAGGATTCCGGGTCCGTTGCCTGCTTTGGTGATAGGTCTCACGAGAGCGGTGCGAAACAGAGAGAAGTCTATAAAAATAAGATTGGTTATTGTGGTTGGCGTCAGATTGAGGATCGGGCGTTGGGGATTGAAGATTGAGGAAAGAGACGTTTATTTATTTATTTATTTTCTGTTATTACTGATTTTAATTATAATACTTTTTTTTTCTTTTTCTTCTTCTTTTTCTTTTTTTCTTTCTATAGAGTGGTGAAGGGAACTACATGTGGACTCAAAGAGCAGCATGTCCGTGTTTGTCCAGTCGAAGTGGGGAATCGGTCGCTGGGGGCAATGGACTGCAACAATGCAAGGATCTTTGGACCCCAAAGTTGGGTATGGTAAGAAGGGTGGAGCTGCGGCAGTCGAAGAAGCTCGTCGTGCGGGCGAAGTTGGCAGTTGGCGATGAAAGCAGGCAGACCCAATTTTTGAAGGAAGGAGTGGAGACGAACACACGGAACGTCAAGTGCTTGGAATTCGCCGGTGGACCTGACAATTTGGACGGATCTCCCACCAAGGCATTCAGCCGGGGGACCCAGAAAGGTCGTGTGGTGGTCATCGCGGGTCCAACTGCGGTTGGTAAGTCACGCATCGCGATCGCCTTGGCCAAGCAGCTCGGAGGAGAGATCATCAGTGCTGACTCAATACAGGTTCCTCTTCTCATAACTTCAATCTGCATCGTCATTCGCGTCGGAAATATTCCACACATGAAACTTATTGTTTTTTTTTGTTTTTTTTGTTTTTTTTGTTTTTTTTTTGCCTCCAATGCCATCTCTGAGGGGTTTTTATTTTCAATTCTTGACTCTAGACGCCCCAGCTAAAGGTTCCGATCTGCACTTTGAGTTTTGCTAAATTGTGCGATGCAAATATTCAACTACGAGCTCCCAAGTCAGTGAGCAAAAATTAGAAACCAGTTAAGGATCACAATGTGGATATTGTCAAAGAGAGATCGCCAGCTCCTTTCGCCTGCGGTCGCTCGATGTTGCCTGTTCCTTTCAAACGCTGCTTTCAACCTTTACTGGTTCACCTTTTTCTTTGTACGGTTACATACGCCGTCGTCGTTGCCCTTCGTGATTAAGTCACTGCACAAGAATATCTATTTCTTCTCCATTGGAGATCTTTGACATCTTTTTGTTGCTAAAATTAAATTGAAGTTCGCCCGAGTGCGCGATTCTTGCTGACGTATTTTTGGTACAAATCATAGCTATTTTCGAAAGAACAGTCTTCACTTGCTAGGGGACAGATCCTGTGCAGCTCAATGAGAGGTGCTGACATCTCTTGGAAGCAGTTTCTCATCCTGTTAAAACTGTTCTAGTCTCTGAGACTCCTTAAGTGAACGAGTTTTGTCACTGAATTGCAGGTTTACAAAGGCATGAACGTCGGCAGCGCCAAGACACCGTTGATTGAGCGACAGGTAGGGTCACAATCGGTCTCCTTACTCCGATCTATTGCCGCACTCGGCCTCCCTCCAGCATCTCTCACGAACTAGCTCTAGTCCACAATTTTTCTCAATTTTTTCTAAGCTGGCGTCAGTTGTTTTCTTGATCGTCCTTAAACCTCATGATCTCTTGATCAAACGATTCAAGCAATTCAAACCACCTTCTTTAAGCAGCTGGCCGCGATTCTCCCACATACCAGTTGTGAGATTCGATTTCGATCGAAGTATTCTCTTACCATCTTTGTTTATCTTTGCAGGGCGTTCCCCATCACCTGCTTGACATGGTTTGTCCTACAGAAGGTTCGTAATGCATACTCCTCGAGGTTGTCAATAGTTCTTTTGCTCTTGAACTGATATTATTTCGAGGCCGTCAGAGCAAATGATCGTACTGTCTAAATAAAATGATGGAACTAAATGATCTATTTGCTAATGATCGCTTACAAACATTTCTTTGGTGGTTGCAGAATACTCAGCGAGCCGATTTTTGGAAGACGCCAGAGCTGCCACAGATCGAGTGCTGGATCGCGGCCGCGTACCGATTATTGTTGGAGGCACATGCACTTACCTGCGCTGGTACGGGCACCATCGCCTACCAGCTCAAGCATTCACTGGTGCGAGGGCATTCCTGAGTATATGGGTGATAAATCGCGTTTGAGGAGCTGGCGTCGTTGCCTAAGGCGTGAGTGCTAACTTCCTGACATTGACCACTGATGAATTCAGGTTCATGAATGGAAATGCTGGAGCACCCAAAGCAACTTCTGAAGTGGGTGCCACCATTGACGGTGACATTCGCCGTTTAATCGGTCGCCCTGGGAGTTGGGAAACAGCTGTGCACAGGCTTGCCCAAGCAGGTGATCTCACAACTACTAACAGCCTGGCACGCAATCCTACAAATGCTAACATGCTTCGTCGAGCCATCGAAGTAGTCACGGTTTGTAACTATCACCTGCTTCTCTTGGTCAATAAAATTTACTTTCAATAAGTTGAATTTTAGGCCGTCCCGAGTCTTCCAATAATGATGGGTATTCGTAATTAGCCTCATTGTGGTCTCTGAATAGCCTTGGGGAGCTTTTCACAACCTCTACACCTGCATGCTGAATCACATGGATGGGTCGGAGTGGGACTATGACTACGACTTTCAGTGCTACTTTTTGTACCAGCATCGTGCGGAGCTGTATCACTGGATAGATCTGCGCTGTGAACAGATGCTTGCAGGTATGGCGGATTGAACCTCTCTTTATGAGCAACTGGAGTGACTCGGCCTCAATATACTTTGTTTCAAAAATATGCATGCTAATGCTGTCAGACTGATATAATCCGTTAGTGTTACAGATCCGAGGGGTTTACTACAGGAGGCATCATGGCTCCTAGATCTTGGATTGATGCCTGATTCTAGTTCCGCATCTCGTGGGATTGGCTACCAGGAAGTAAGCTTCACGATCCTTCACGTGTGTTTGTAACAGTCTGATCCCGATGTCTGTTGTGTACAGAAATTCAGTAACATGTTTCTTGAGGATGCTTGCTGTGATAGTTCGATCCTCATCGTTAGACTCGAATTTTAATCTAAAACATTAGACTAATGCCATGGTTGGTATGACAAATCAGGCGATGGAGTTTCTGATGGAGTGTAGAAAAGCTGGAGGAATGGCCACTGAGAAGAGGGTCTTGGAATTTCTATCAGCTTTTCAACATGTTTCAAGGTTAAAACTTTGACTATTTGTCTGACGCTGGCTTGCTGGTTCAGTTGAACCGGTGTAAATCTTCTTTATTCTGGATGATGTGCTCCTCTTCTGCAATCTAAATCTCAATGCATGATTTACTTCTATCGCAGAAGTCTGGTGAAAAAGCAGCTTACATGGTTTCGAAGTGATCAACACAGCGATGTAAAGCAATTCCACTGGATTGACGCTTCTCAGTCAACGGTAAGGGGATCTTCAAGTACCCTCACCCTGAACCACACGTCTGACTTTCGAGACTGGATCATGTTAACATGCAGTCACCTCCTGCCATTTTTTGCATTCCTTGAAAATGTAGATTAATTGATGTAGTGAAGTTCAAAATGTCTCCCCAAAGGCAAATCAGCTTGGCCTTACTGTGAAGTCTAGGGAACCGAGTTTAAACCTCTGTTCCTGTATACAATGTGCAGGAGAAGATTTTGGAAGCTATGAGGAAAGAATACTGGCGACCGCCAGGTTACCCTTCTGAATTGAGAGGAAGCGACGATCGGAAACACGCCAGTTACAAGGAGGGAAAAGTACTGAAATACTACAAAGTTGAAAATAGGTATATATATATATATATATATATTTTTTTTTTTTTATTTCCATGAATTGATTCGTGCAATTGCTGTTGATCATCATCTATTTGTTCTCATGGCGGATTTGTTTGTTTCGTGCTGAAGCTCGTGACATGGTGCGCCTTGCAGGATTTTTACAAACTCAGCAGCAATCGCAAATGTTTTGAAATGGGTGAAGCAGACACAAGTTGACCGGAGATTTCAACAGAATGTAGTTAGGTTCTGAGTAAACCGAAATTCTGGGGACGAACCCTGGTCAATGGTCTCCAGTTTTAAGGTAGGTCTGGTTTAAAACATCATCCAGACCACTGTAACATTATGCAAGGTAGTAGCAAAACAGCAAGAATGCGATCCTTGATGCAGTTTTGATAGGCAATGCTTGTGTTCCCTGATTCTTTTTAAGAACAATCTGTACATGCGGAGTTTTCATTAATCCACACATTTGTCCAAATGACTATAGCCTCATTGTTCGTTGTGTACCTCCTATAAAGGCACCCTTTATCTTGCAATGTTTCCATCAATTTTGACATTTTGCCAAAATGCAAAGGGCAATCAGGCTAGAATGATGCTGCAACCCCAAACTTGGCCGAAGCATGGAAGAAGTTCAGCAATACGTGGAACTAGACATGATGTGTAGCAGATTCAAAATGTGATTCAATCTTCATTTCATCTCCAATGGATCAGAATTTCAAACTTTGAAATACATATTTTTGCAACATTTAGGCCACAACCCCAAATGTCATCTTGTTACATGCAAAGACATATCCATAAATGAAGCACAAAATTTGATACAATGATTGGTATTAAATGTGTAAATGATGTTTAATCACTAATTGAGAGAACTTCTATAAATTTTAATTTACATATAATGATGTACAATGACCATATTGTGGTAACCAAGAATAAGTTTCTGTTAGAGAGAAACGTACTGTTATATTAAACTGATATCATTTTTTTTCCTTCACAATCTCTGTAAAGTATAATAAATTATTTTTCAAAAATTGATTTTGATAAAAAAATAGAATTTGAGATGATTTCTTCTCACAGTAACTTTGTTATTTCACTTTTTACACTTGTTTTCTATAGTAATTTATAATTACATATATACTGAATTATTTTTGGAAATAACAATGTTTTTTTAAGATTCTTACAATATATCATTTTGACTGTATACATTCAATATGTATTCAACTAATTATAAGAAATAAAGATTTCTAAATAATTTATTCTAAATAAAAACAGATATGGTAATGTAATTGCCTTACAGACCATATATTTTAAATAAGGCCTCAATGTAAAATTAAATCATACTTTTTAAAATTAAATCAAAACTAATCTTTTGGATACATTAGAACTTTAAAATTACAGCACTTTAAAATACATGTCACTTCTATAATTCACAGTTAAAATATTATAAGGAGGACAAAAATGCTTGGTTTATTACATGTCAATATGTCAAAGGAATATTTTTAATGTTATATATATATATGTGTGTGTGTGTATATAATAATAATAATTATTAATAATTGATATTTTGGTTTTTCAACCATTTAAGTCAAGTTGAATACAACAGATTTGCAAAGCATATAATTTTGTATACATCAAAGAAGGAAATGAATATAGGGTTTTGTATTAAACAAAGTATAGATATTTCAAGTATAACATCATGGTTTTTGGTCTCAAAAATTATTTTTTAATGATATTCAATGTGATAAAGAAGAAGAGACAAATGACAGCTGAAGCTATTATAATAGAGACATTGGATACTCAAGTAACTATAGATGAAGAAGAAGAGATAGGACAGGTATTTGTACAATTTACAATGTCAGAAGCTAGAATTAAGATTGATATAGAAGATGAGGCTTTAATTAAATATTAAGAGGCTATAGAAGAGCATCAAATGAAATATGCATCTATAAAATTTACTAAGATAAAGAAGAATGCAGAAGAAGCATGTATGAATACTTGCTCTAAATGTAATAATAATGGAATAGAAAGTAGTAGCTATTCAGTTCTTTATTAGGCTAGAGCTACTATAGAGACATATGTAAGGTTGGGTGACTCTAAAGATCCAATTTTGATCTTAGTTGATCATGGATCTTAAATTAATATCATGTCAAGGCAGATATATGAGAAAAATAAGTAACTAATTGATACCAATTATAGTTGGATAGTTAGAGCTGCAAATAACCAACAAGGTGATTTATATCAAGCTTACCAAGCTGTAAAGACTAGGATTAGAGATGTGGAAGTAAAACAAAATTTTTTTGTATAAAACTCTGCTACATATCCAATAATACTTGGTTAATCTTATATTATAGCTACTAGAATGGAAACTAGAGTCTTGGATGATGATTCACATTATGCTAGGATTTGTAGTTGGGATGGAAAAAAAGTTGTGTAATTTATTATTATGAAACCTATCTATAAGAAGCATAGAAATAAATTAAGAAAAATGCCTTAGGAGCCAGGAAACAACTTTGTAGATTTTTAGAAAGCACCCTTGTAGAATGGGGACACATGGGTACAAATAAGTCATTTACAAATCCTAATATAGATAATATGAATTTTTGATTTTTGAACTTGACTAATAATGGATTTGTGAGTATTTAAAAAATTAAAGATTTAGATTATGTAAATAGAAGAATGATGAAGATATAAGAAATTTTTTTAAAAATAGTGGCTTTAGTTTCAAGTAATGAAGCCATAGTTGGAATAATAGAAGAAATAGGTTTCGAAGATGATTTGATAAAAGTTCTGGAGAATTTAGCTTTAAGCATAGATGGAAATGCTATAGTGGAAATATATTCAAGAGAGTCTTATGAAAAATTAAAAAAGATAATAGCAAATGGTGGACTTGCTACAAGCTGTGGATTGAAATATGAGGCTAGAATACAAACTAAATATAAAGCTGTGATAAGAAAGGTAAAGCCTATAACTATCTAATTACTAGTTGATACTATAGAATATACTAAGCAAGCAATTAAGGAGCCAAGTCTAAGAAAAAGAGATGGAATTGTACATCAATTTACTCAAAAATCATTAGTTAAATTGAAGATTGGAAGAAGTGATTTCTTGACATCAATAGAAAAAAATATGTTTCAAGAAATACTTATTAGGCATGATAAGGCATTTGCCTTAATTCTTGATGAAATTAGATGTGTGGATCCTAATATTGTAGTACCTATGGTAATCTTTACTATACCACATGTTCCATGGGATTTAAAGCCTATACTTGTATCCAGAGCTTTGCTTCCAAAATTAATAGAACTATTAAAGAAAAAGATGAAGATGAATATTTTAGAACCTTCAATTACTCCCTATTATAATAGATGGTTTACAATACCTAAAAAGTCAAGAATATTAAGGTTTATTCAGGATATGCAACTTGCAAATAGAATAACTATTCAAAATATGGAATCATGTCTTGTAGTAGATGAAGTGGCTGAGCAATTTGCAAGTCATGCCATCTATTCTATTGGAGACTTATTTTCTGGATATGACCAATTTCAATTGGCTAAAGAGAGTAGGAATTTAACTACCATGAAGACTCTTTTGGGATTAATAAAGATGTGTAAGATATTGCTTGGATATTGGAGAAATTGGAATTTGTTAATCTTACGTTATCTATGGAGAAATCAAGCTTTGGAATTGATGAGATTCTAGTAGTGGGACATAAGTGTAGCAGGTATGGTAAGAAATCAAACTCTAATGAAATTGATGCTATATCTATGATGAAGGCTTGTAGAAATGTTAGAGAAGTCAGAAGGTTTTTAGGAGAATGTGTTTTCTATCATATATGGATGCCTCACTTTGTCCATATCTCTGAGTAAGTATACAAGTTATTGAAAAAAGATAAGGGATATTTTTGGTAAGAAGAACAAAAAGAAGCTATAAAAAATTTAAAAAAGATGTTAAATTTACTACCTATGCTTAGATAAGTGGATTATCAATGTGGTAGACCAGTGGTTGTAATAGTGGATATAAGCCCTATAGCAATTGGATGGATTATTAGACAAGATGATGTAAAAGAAGGAAGATTTGTCATAAGGTTTGGGGCCAAGGTTCTTAAAAAGCAGCAAAGGACTTGTTCCTCACTTAAAAGGGAGCTTTGGAGAGCTCTCATTACTCTAAAGGTTGAGAGGAATTATTTGATTGGAGCAAGTATGGTTTTGGAAATAAATTATTTGTCATTACTTAAAATGATAATTAACTGTACCACTCCAGACATTACTATGTTAAGATGGATAG